ATATATATATATATATATATATATAATTCTCTTCAATATATTCTTTTCTATTATTGAAAATACAAAAAGATGAATTAAACAATCATTAAATAAAAAAGTGAGATCCATCAAATTTCTTATTTTCTAATATTAATTAATAATAGAAAGTATAAAAAGATTTGTATTTTAGAATGTACTGTTAACACTCTTGTGATATGAATAATTTGGTATACTATGTGAGCGATGTCGAATTATCAAAAATTCAGGTTGAATTAGATTTCACACTAAGTCAAATTGAAAATTGATTAAGTCGTGAATTAGTTTTATAATGGGTAGGGTAGAGTGTCGAATTATAACCTTTTACATGTAAGGAAACAACAAATTAAAAGTTGAAGTACAATCTATATCATGTTATATTAATTGTATTGAATATCAAATATCGATACTAACATACTAATGTAAGAGACTAACAATATCATAGCATAGTAAATTAATGAGTTTATGTAAATATTATATAGAAGATGTAAGTACTTACTAAGTATTTTCTTTAAATAAAAATAAAAATATACATCACAGCACATGGAACAGTCAATTTAAACTTTAGCCTGTAAGTAATGAATTGGGTTGATATAGCATGTTTTTAATCTATTATTAAAGAAAAAAAAATATAATCCAATAATTTTTTAGTCGCAAACTCTACTTCTAATATATTAACACACCCTTGAGCTTTTTGTTATACTTACAGTTCAAGCATATTAGGTTGGCGAAAATTTCTTATTTTATTAAAAAATTAAATTTAAATTATTATTCTATTTTATTTATTTATTATGTTCAAATGTTTTTGTGAAAATACAGTAAAATGTTAAATCATTAACGAGAGTATTTTACAATTTATTGATTTGATCATAATGGAATCGTAATTAAACTATTAATATGAGTAAATATATATTTTAAATATTTATATAATATATTATTAAACGTATTATTTATATGTCCTTGTAGCAAGTATTACAGTTTAAATAATTAAAAAAATATTTTGAAGTTCTTTGCAGTTGTTATTTGGTAATTCTAATAGAAGGTTGTGTATAAATATGTATGGAAAGAAAGTACATTAATTAAAATATGGCGATCGGACTTGCAGCTACATTGGAGATTTTGAAGCACTACTTTCAAACCTTTGTAGAAGTTCATCATACTAACAGTTTAATTATGCAGTAGCTCTAGCCCTAAATATTTTTCTTTGTCACCATATATATGAAAAAAAAATCATAAGACAATAAGTATGTTCCTTTAAGTACTTGTATTCTTTATATATAGTGAATATATATAATTACTTAATTAACACCAAAATTTTCTTTTACAATTTATTGAGAGTTTTAAGAGAGGGAATTTAGACCTCTACTTTACTCGAACAGTCACTATAAAAAATGTTATATATAGTGACATACAAAAAATATCAAGGTACAATATATATAAGTATATGACAAAAAGTGAGTTTATATTCGTTGCCCCCACTCCTAAATAAACAAATAAATGAAATGACTACCACAGAATTTTAATCAATCCAAGTTTAACTAAAGTGGTTTTATTTGTTTGAAAGTACCAATGTAAACCTCTGTTAAAATTGTAGCACGTCCTATTAAGTGTGGAATATGTGAAAAGTTGTCCTCTTCTTAAACTTTATTCCACCAGAAAAAAAAAAAAAAAAAAAGTCAAACAATCTATTGCTTTTCTAAACCCTGAAAACAATTTACTTTAGTTTTCAAAATAATTACAGAAAGTTTTGCTCCTTTATTTTTATACTATATCGGTAAAGCTTCTCAGTGCTGAGTTGATACACGATTTGCTCTGTGGTTAAGAACTTTCTGTGCCGTTTATCATAAAAATTAAAAAGAGTGATTAAGAATGAGAGAAATCTATTGCTAGAGCTTTGATTTACTAACTCGCATATTCTGTTAATTATTTTATTATTTCCATGAAATTATATGGTGATTTAATATATACCTGACATATGTTAAAATTCGTTATTGACATCAAATTCATTTTAATACATCTTATACACAATAACTAATGTACAAATTCATTACCACTATGTTAAAATGGTGCTTCAAGCAGAAATTACGTTCCGCAAAATACAGATCGAATTGTCAGCTTAAAATACAGTGTGACCAATAAACTAAAAAAACAGATTTTACAAATACAACAGTACTTTATGTGAATTATCAAATTCAGTTAATTAATGAGTTCTAATAAAAGGTATTAAATTTATTAATGATTTGTATAACTTTTTACAAAATATCTTAAAAAGTTGGAATTTCATTCCCTTAATCAATTCCTAACTAATTAATTAATAAGTAGTAATAATTAATAGTATTAAATTTAATAATTTATATTTTTTAATTGCCCTTAAAATTAATGAGATTTCATTCTTTTAACTTCTTTTTACTTAATTAATTTAAAATTTATTAATTTAAAATTAATACACTAAACAATTTGGTGACAATCTTATAAAAATGATCCACATTATTTCTTTAAAAAAAATACTATAGAAAGGACTAGATGTCGTACATTATTTCTTTTAAGTCTTTAATTTAAGTTTTGTATATTACAATAGTTAACCAATATCGAAATATTTTGACCCTCTGAATAAATATAATTCATCAAAATTAATATAAATTAGAGGCTTTAACTAGATTTGAGGAATTTTTTTTATTAAGCATAAATAATCTCTTCGGGAGATTATTTTGTT